GAAGGCCGGAACGGAAAGGACCGGTTGGCGCAAGGGCCGAAGGCCGGACCGGGCGGGTGGGCGGGCGAACGGTCGGATTACCGAGAGGAGGCGGGCGGGCGAGGGGCGATTCCCGAAGGGAAGGCGGCGACCGGTGAGGCCGAAGGGATGGCGGCGGCGACGGCCGAGACGGAACGGAGGCCGCCGACGACGGCGAGGCGGAGGGAGGGGGCGGTGACGGTGAGGTGGACGGCGGCGGCGGCGATGGTGAGGCGGACGGCGGCGGCGGAGACGGTGAGGCGGAGGGAGGCGGCGGCGAGGGCGACGCGGACGGCGGCGGCGGCGACGGCGATGCTGAGGGCGGCGGGGGCGACGGCGATGCCGAGGGAGGCGGCGGCGACGGCGAGGCGGACGGAGGCGGCGGCGAGGGCGACGCCGAGGGAGGCGGTGGCGAGGGCGAGGCGGACGGAGGTGGCGGCAACGGTGAGGCGGAGGGAGGCGGCGGCGAGGGCGAGGCGGAGGGAGGCGGCGGCGAGGGCGAGGCGGACGGCGGCGGCGGCGAGGGCGAGGCGGAGGGAGGGGGCGGTGACGGTGAGGTGGACGGCGGCGGCGGCGATGGTGAGGCGGACGGAGGCGGTGGTGACGGTGAGGTGGATGGCGGCGGCAGAGACGGTGAGGCGGAGGGAGGCGGCGGCGAGGGCGACGCGGACGGCGGCGGCGGCGACGGCGATGTCGAGGGTGGCGGCGGCGAGGGCGACGCGGACGGCGGCGGCGGCGATGGCGAGGTGGAGGGAGGCGGCGGCGATGGTGAGGCGGAAGGAGGCGGCGGCGAGGGCGAGGCGGAGGGCGGCGGCGGCGAGGGCGAGGCGGACGGCGGCGGCGGCGAGGGCGAGGCGGACGGCGGCGGCGGCGAGGGCGAGGCGGAGGGAGGGGGCGGTGACGGTGAGGTGGACGGCGGCGGCGGCGATGGTGAGGCGGACGGAGGCGGTGGTGACGGTGAGGTGGACGGCGGCGGCGGAGACGGTGAGGCGGAGGGAGGCGGCGGCGAGGGCGACGCGGAGGGAGGCGGCGGCGACGGCGATGCCGAGGGAGGCGGTGGTGACGGTGAGGTGGACGGCGGCGGCGGAGACGGTGAGGCGGAGGGAGGCGGCGGCGAGGGCGACGCGGAGGGAGGCGGCGGCGACGGCGATGCCGAGGGAGGCGGTGGCGACGGCGAGGCGGACGGAGGTG